GGCAAGAGACAGTTGTACCCTGCCTTGTAGGGTTGCTCTCTAACAGCAAGGAGTCTGAGGAGCCTGGCGGCAGGCACAGTGGGTTAAAGTGTCAGGCTGCTGACCACAATAAGCTCAGCAGTTCAAACCCACCAAACGCTCCCCAGAAAATGAGTCTGTATGCTCCTATAAAGATGCACAATCAGAACCCTATGTGGCAGTGCAACCATGCCCTCTAGGTTCCCTTTGGCTTGGTGACAGTGGGCACAGTGTTAACAAGAGGCTTGAAAATTCCTTTCAGTGATTCAAAAGTAGCACAGGCAGCAAGTGAAGGTAATCTCTAAGAAGAATTTGTTGCAAGTCCAGACTGACTCAACTGGTTCACAGTGGGGGCAAATTTACATAGTCTTAAAAGGGCAAGTGCAAGCTGTGCTTAAGTTGGACCTAAGTCTGTAACCTGGGGACTGCGGTGTATTTTCTGTGGATCTGGTAGTGCCAGCCCCAAGAGCAAATATCATTGGATGGGTTTACTTATGACGCCGCAGTGTATAAAATCTACCCTCACCCATGGACACCCATTCACAAGTTTTTAATGAGGTGAACTGTGTCCATCTGAGGACAACAAATGAGAAGGGGTGGGGAGCGGGGAGCTGTTCTTGATGGCAGCACACCCACAGGAAGAGCAAATCCAGGCTACCAGGAAGGAGACGTCATGGCAAGGCACAGAGCACTGACTCATAAACCATGACAACCATGCATAGGGGGACAGGGCTTACTGCCCAGGCCTGACTAAACGGGGGCACATAGAAGGTGGCCACCAATGTCACAGTTCTAGGTGGCATTCTGATTCACACCGGTGACTCTCAGCAAATCTTTTCAACCTCCACAATCAATCCAGGATCCAGTCTCTCTCACCCTCTCCACTGTTATGACCCCGCTCCCCAAACTTATCTCCCGCCTGAGATGCGGAACTGCCTCTAGTCTCCCATTCCCACCTGTTAGGTAGAATAGGGACAGGGTTGTCCCTCTCCATGCATGAAGGCCCCCTACAGAAGGTTGGGAAGGAATCAAGCGAGCATTAAACACCTATAAGGACCCTTTAATTGGGTATGCTCCAATTCTGCGCCACACCCCACCAGGTAGGCTTGATTCAGCCAGTGGGGTCAATCCATTACCTTCAACTGCACCTAGCTAGCCAGAGGTTTAAATACCTTAGTGGCAGGGCCACCCCTTCTTCAGCCTTCTGCCCTCTCCCCTTGGACGCTGCTCACACCCCAGCTCAGCCCTGCTGTGGTCTCAGTCACCACACGTGGGTGAGCAGTCCCACCAGGCTGCCCCTGTTCAGTGGTGAGCCCCAGCGTGGCTTAACGCACAGTTTGGCACACTTCCCCGAAATAGCATGTGCTCTTTGGAGACCGTAAAACCTGAACTTCTTCCGTCCTTATAAAAACCCACTTGGATCACAAACCAGGCTTCGGCATGAATTCTTTCTCGTGGGAAGCTAAGAACAGAGGTATTTCCCACCAGAGAAATCTAACACACCCAGGCCTCCTTGCACTGTGTTACCCACAGCACATAGGAACCCTAAGCCACATCAAAGTCTTCCTCTGTTCACACGCTAACTCGACCCCGCCCCCGAGATGGCCGCCTGACCTCACTGCCCACACTGCCCATCATGTGCCCTCTGGCTCAGTCGCGCCCAGCCTCATGGGCCTCCTCGCCCCTTTCCTAGGTGTGCAATCTTCTTCCCTTACACACCTGCCTGGCCCACTGTCTGGAATGCAACGTTACCCACACGGGGCGGCCTGCCCAACTCGGCTCTGCCCACCTACTGAAACAGCCCACCCATCACCCAGCCTTTTTAAAAGCCGCCGCTGCGTGTTATCTCTGGCTGACAGCGCGCATTTACGCTTACTCTCTCCTCACTAGCACGGAGGGTTCATCACAACACGGACACGCCACTGGGTGCGGCGACCACGCGGGAGGCAGGCGCGGCCACAGACGCAGGCAGGGCCCTTCCGGTAGGCAGCCCAGATCACGTGGCCAACTGCGGCCACGCCCACCCCGCTGCCCAGGCGGCGCGTCGAAGTGCGTGCGTGCGGCGTGCGGCGTGCGTGCGTGCGTACTCGGCCTGGAACGGCGGGGAGGTGCTGCCGCCTAAGCCAACGACGGGTCTAGGTCGCGCAGTTCTGGGAAGGCTGAGCAGCGGCCTAGGTCCGACAACGGGGTCACCGCGCGGCCGGATGACCGACCCCTAGCGGGGCCTCCCCGCGCTGCGTCCAGAGGGTCGGGGCAGCACTGACCTTCCAGGGACACGGCTGAGCACGGTGCCGTCCGCCGCCCGCTCGCCCCTCAAGACCCCGTCTTCCCGGCGCTGGTCGCCCCCAATTCCCACCCCTCGCCTTAGGTCACCTGTGTCGGGGAGGTGATTGGTAAGGTCTAACAGGAGCCAGCGCGCAGGCTTTCCCCTTCGCTCTCCGTAGTGGGCGGGGCTCCGCCCTTGGTTCCTTAAAGGCAAGCGCCCGCCCCTGCGAGATAATTACCTCCGACACAAAGTGTGGCAGGGCGGGAAGTACATTGGGGAGTTTGGGAGGGGGTGTGAGTTGCAGGGCGATTAACTGTGCTGTGATATTCTGCAACGTTCACACCGGTAGGTCTCTTCTATTAGGGCTTATAGAGAGAGTTGATGGACGTCTTTTGCGTTCCCACAACAATTGCCCCAGTTACAAGGAGCCCTGGTGGTGCAGTGGTTAAGTTCTTAGCTGCTAACGGAAAGGTGGGCGGTTCAAAGCCACCAGCCAGTTTGTGAGAGAGATGTGGCAGTCAGCGCATGTAAAGATTTTACAGCCTTATAAACTCGGGAGCGGTTTTTTTCTTGCCTTTTAGGGTTACCTTGCGTTGAAATCCACTGATCGGCAACGGTGTGGGCTTATAGATGAGACTCCTTTGCTGAAGTGTCGCTGAAGGATAGTGTACGGTGGGCATCAGAATTCATGAAACTCACTATTAGCAAGTCGATTCTGAGTCACAGTGACCCTGGAGGACCAGTAGACTGGTCCAGTGCGTTTCCAAGGATGTAAATCTTTACCAGAGCAAAGAATCCTTCTGAGGAGTGACTGGTAGTTTTGAACTGATGACCCTGTAGTTAACAGCTAGTTGTTTAACCCACTGTGCCACCGGGCTTCAGGAAGTTCTCAGTTTTTTCCCATTGATCTGAGTATCTGTCATTACAGGACCGCACTGTTTTGACCACTGGCTATATAGTAGGTGCTAAAGTCAGGTAAAGCAAGCCTCTGAATTTGTCCTCAAGTTCTCTGCTAATTCTGGGCTTCTTCCTTTTCCTTTTCCATTGAAGTTGTTACTTTTTCTAATTCTTCTGGGGAAAAATGTTGGTATTTGTATCTGGATAGTGTTAAACATATAGTGCCTCAGACGGGACTGACATCTTTACTATATTCAGTGTTCTGACTCACGAGCATAGGATATTCTTCCATTTGTGGAGGTCACTCTTGGTTTCTTGTAATAGCATTCTCTAGTTTTCCTCTACGAGTCCTTTTGTTTTTTGGGGTTTTTTTTTTCCCCCCGGTTAACACTAGATTTTTCTTCAGGGTACTACAAAAGCTGTAAATTTAAATTTTTTTAAATTCATACTAATCCGAATATTGTGCTTATTTTTAAAGTTATATCAATGTCCCCAAACCTCTGGGGGTTCAAATATCTAGCATATTTCAAGAAATAGCTGTTGGTGGATTATAGATTCCATACCCCCTTCCTCTATTAGGTTACAAGCTCTTATAAAGCTGTTGTTGGGTACCATCTACCTGTTTTCTTTGGCTCTTAACAACGATGTGTTACAGAATAGAACTCCATATTGGGAGGAGTGGGGCAGTGGTCTTCATGGAAACAGACCACCAGATCTTTATCTTGCAGAGTCACTGGATGGATTTGAACCACCATCCTTTCAGCTAGAAGCTGAGTGCTTAAATTGTATACATCACCAGAGTTCCTCTTAACACTATCACCACCACCACCACCCCCCACACACAGAAAGCCCAAATCTATTGCCATGAGTCAATTCCAACCCGTAGGAATTCCAACCCAATTCCAACCCTTAGGGACCCTTTATAAGGTTTCTGAGACTGAATCTTCACGGGAGCAAGCAGCCTCATCTTTCTCCCATGGAGCATCTGGTGGGTTTGAACTGCTGGCATTGCAGGCTGCAGCCTAATGCCTAGCACAGAGTGCCCTCGGGGCTCAGGTAGTTTGTTAAAATAGAAAACCGTGGAACCTACTATACGTGAGACTAAAAACAGCCTGTTACCAAGTAGTCACTTCCAATAAGTGACGATGCTATTGACAAAGCAGAAGAGTTCACGGAGTTGTCTTGGCTGCAGTTGCTACAGAAGCAGGTCGCCAAGCCTTTCTGCTGCAGTACCACTGGGTGGGTTTGAACCTTCGGCCATTCAGTCACTGAGTGCAAACTGCACCAGGGACCCTGTGTAGTGCCAGCTAAATCTGGCGGGGAACAATTGCCTCAAGTGGCAGCCCCCTTTAATGAGAGTTCCAGTATAATACCAGAACCCATGCTCCCTTAGTGGTGACACTCATGCCGAGAGAGAGCAGGGCATGCAAGGGTTTGAGTGTCAGGTTAACTCATCAACCCCTGAAGACACAGCCTAAGACTGAGTTCTGTCATTACAAAATATTAACAAAGGTCATTTTCTTAGAGAGTCTCTACCTTCTACCCTTAGGGCTTAAGTATTCCGTAGTCCAAACATCCACATAGCCTAAAAAAGGGACGTGGGGGGCGGGGACTCTAGGCAAGGAGATTGAGGTCTCATTCGATGCCTTATGGTTGGGAGAGTCTTCTGTAACCCAAATCCATCGTGTTACTACTACATAGGCCAGTTTCCCCAATCGAGTGAAAGAACATCTGTGTCCTGGGTAGGAGCCGCCTAGTCCTACCTGACTCAGCCACCCTCACACTCATCTGTGTCCATTGTGGTAGCCAGTGTCAGTCCATCTTGTTGAGGCGCTTCCTCATTTTTTGCAGGCCCTCGACGTTACGTAGCTTGATGATGCCCTTCTCCAAGGAGTAGTCTCTCCTGATACCAGGACCACAGTACATGAGACAAAATCTCACCATCCTCATTTCTTTCTTTTTTTTTTTACCATCCTCATTTCTAAGGAGCATTCTGGCCGGCCTTCCAGCACAGTTTTTGTTGTTGTTCTATTGGCAGGCCATGGTGTAATCAATAGTCTTTGCCTGCACCAGAAGTCAAACACACCAACTCTTCTTTGGTTTCCTCTGTTATCTAGCTTTCACATCCTTAGGAAGCGATTGGAAATCCCATGCTTGGCTCAGGATACCCACTCAGCAGCATGACTCGGGCCGTAGTCCTCAAAGCGACAGCTTTGCCTTTTAACACTTTAAAGAGGTCTTCAGCAGAATTTCTCAATGCAGAATGTTGTTGATTTTCTGACTGCTGCTTCTGGATCCCAGTAAAATGAACTCCTTGTCCACTTTCAATCCATTCCCTAACACACGTGTGTTAGAACCCTTCATGTGTGTGTTAGAACCCTTCATGAGCTCTCAAGCTATTAGAACCAGAAGAAATGTATTGCTTTAAGACATTGAACTACAGATTAAGCATACTTGATGTACAACAAAACAAAAAACCCCAGCAACATTTGATTAACACTCAATGGTGGCTGGGAATGAACAAAACGAATTTGCCTCCAATGAGTGACATTGTCGTGAGTCTTTTTTTTCTTTTTAGCCTTCACGTCTGCGAAATAAAAGAGTATTTGTATATGGAGGCTCCATTTATCTTCTGTGAATGAGGCAGAAAATAGGTTCAAAAGTCTCCTTTGGCAAAACAAGGGAGCCATGTGTTCCCGTTTCAAAGGTATTGAATGGGAGGCGCCAGGCATCGGTCATCTTTGAAACACTTTTCATGGCAAAAAAAAAAAAAATCACTTCCCTGAGCATCATTCCATGCTGAAAACAAGACTTCGTGCATTTGGAGGAAACCGCGTGGAAAACCGGGACGTGATTCATCTGGCCTTGAGGCGCTAACTACAAGCTCGGTCATGGGCTCAGCCTCCTGGGAGAGAGGTCCGGGCCACCGCGCCGGGCGCTCCGGGCGGCTCCGAGTTCCTGGGAGACGCGTGGCGGGAGGCCCTCCCTGCGGAGCGGGGCTGCGTGCCCACTGCACGGGGCGCCGTCTTCCCGCCCCGCACGTGGGCTGCTTGGTGGCCGGCCGGCCGGGGATGCTCCCGCGACCTGACAAAAGTGGCAGCGAAAGCGCTGGGTTTTTGTTTTTTCTTCTTCTTCTTTACATTTCACCCCCCACCCCCACCCCTTTCTCTGCCTTTTTTTTTTTGCAACAGTAAATCTACCAATTTTACAGTCAGTTGAGCAGCAATAGG